AGAGTGAGGGGGGAAGAGGGGGAGGGAGAGGAGGAGGGGAGGAGAGGAGGAGAGGAAAGAAGATAGAAGACGGTGAAGGGGTTCTGGTGCTGGATTTTGGTGATGGAGATGTTTTCGTTAAAATGAATAATCTTGATTTCTCGTCTCGCTTATTTGGTTGTTTGGGTGTTTGTTATTATGATCCGATGTCTTTCTCGGCCTGAGGTATTATATGTTTCTTTCTCTTCTTTTGGGGGAGAGATGGTTGCTGGGGGTTGGATCTGGTACTTGCTACCATGGGTAGAAGGGGGGGAATCGATTGACTTCTGAGGAATGAGAATGAGAGATACGGATAGTCTAGATCCTGGGGGCGGTGAAAGGGTTGATAAATGGCATTGTTTCGACTGCGCAGCTTTGTGTCCTTTGTGGTATTTTCAGATGTCCCTTCTTTGTACGGAGTCGTCGAGCAGGACAGAAAGGACCTTGGACTCTTTCTGGGGTCGTCCGAAAGGAGATATAAAGGGCATCTCTCTCTCTCAACCAGACTCCTTTGTCTGCGACCTGGACAGACAGCCATGCCCGTGGGTATAAAGTCGTCCCAGCGTCCGACCGCAGCGTTTACTGTCAAGCACATAAGTTACCGTATATACTCGCCGAAGTTCTGAAGAGATCACAACCTATCCTGTTCGCATACATTCGGTCGATTGATCTGCCGCGTATATATACAAATAGGCATCATGGCGTATTACGATTCGGAGATTCCACGTCCAGCCCCCTACGGAACGTCTCGGCCTCCCCGTCAAGCAGGCAGGTCCTGCGATGAGCCCGAAGAACGAAGAGGCCGAAAAGCACACAACTACGCGGCCTACGACACCGAGTTTGACGAGCCCGACGAGCCCGACGAGCCCTACAGACGCGCCGACGGACGCCCTCACTCCCGCTCCCGGCGATACTTTCGCGCTCGCTCCCGCTCACAGAGACGCGCACACTCCCCCGCCCCCGAAGGTTCTCTCCCGCACGACCCTGTGCGCGACACTTCCGCAGTAGCATACACCTACGAAGAGGACGAGCCAGCCAGCATCCCCATCGCGCCGGCGCCTTGGAACGGGCACCGCTCGTCCATCACGAAAGAAGCGCTCATCGCCTTCCTCGTCGATCAGGGCTGTCACCCGAAGCGAGCCGCGGCACAGGTCGACCGCGAGTTCTCCGCCCATGCCGTGCAGTGGGTTGCGGGACGCGCCGACCCGTTCTTGTCGAGGAGCGAGCACGGGGTGCGCGATCCGCCGAGGAGTAGGAGGTTCGAGGCCAGTCGTGAGCCTGGAGATGGAGATGGAGAGTGGAGGGGAGGGGAGAGGAGGGGACGAAGAAGGAGAGGAGGAGGACAGAGAGGGAGAGGGAGAGGGAGAGGGATGCAAGTCCCGCCTACCAGCCACGGCGAATGCCGAGAGCGCCTTCTCCGCCGCCGGCATCTGCTTACACGCGACGCGAACATGAGAGCCAGGGCCAGAGCCAGGGCCAGGGCCAGAGTAGCAATAGCAGCCGCTCGCGGAGACAGCGAGACTGCTCTCGTCCTCCTCGTCCTCCTCCTCCTCCTCCTCCTCCTGTGTCTTCTTACCACGATGCATCTCCGCCCCCGCGACCGAGATACGATTACTACGAGTCGTCTTTTTCTTCGTCGTCTGCTTCTTCCCGTCCTCGGGAGCCTGGTGCTCCAAGATATCAGGGCGCGTCTTGGTACGAGCCTCCACGGGAGAGTGTGCCGAGGGAGAGGGGAGGGCAGGGTTGGGATAGATATCGGTACGAGGATATGAGTAGGGAAATGGACGAGATGAAACGGAGGATGGGCGAGGAGAAGGAGAGACGCAGGTACTAAAGGATCGGGGCGAGAGTTGAGATGTAGTGAGCTTATGGAGTGAAGTCGGTAAGTCGGTAAAGCCGGTAAGCGAGTTTTTTTTTTTATATTTCCTGTTTACGTCGACTTTCATCTTTTTTATCTGCCGGCCCTTCTCGCCCCCCCCCCCCCCCCACCAGCCCAGTTTTAATTTTTGAAGCCATGAATAAAGAATTCATGAACTTCATGGCGCTTTTTACCGACCTTTTGCCATCAAGTGAAATATCGTAAATACATGAGTCGTGATAGCCCTGCCAACAGAGTTACACGCCTCGGGACATTTCCTAATAAAGATCCGCCGATCTTCCAGCGGACAGAAACCAGAACCAAACCATATTCTGAACAAGTGATTCTGGTGGCGGCACGACTCTATCACCGAGGCGTCGTGCGGTTGCAGCGCGTCAGACTCGCTTCGGCGATCTGCAACCGATCCGGAACCGGGACGCCCTGAAAGGTGAAAGGTCAGAGTAGCTTCCACTCCCACGCGCATCTCAGCTCGCCCCGGTCGATCACCCCCGCCCCCAAAAGACTGCCTGCCAACGTTACCCCGCCGGCTGGTCTACTTTTGTATATCTTCTTTCACCGCGAGCGTCACATTTGCGTGACCTTGGTTTTCGTCCGGTTCCATCTCTCTACCCCGTGTCTGAGGACCATCCTGAGACGGGACGGATAAAACCGTGGTCCGGATATACGATTGGCTGCGTCCCCGATTCCGGTGGCGCTGTTTCTCGCGATGCATCCTGAGACTAGGTGGATTGGGCGGAGCCGCATCGTACGGCTCGCGGCCAGCTGATCGGTCAGGTATAAAATCACCAGAGGACGACCACGTTTTGCTTCGGGCCATACCATACCTTCCTTCTTCCTTTAGTCATTCGATCTCTATACAATCTTTATCCAATTTCTAATCCGATACAGCGGAGCTGTCATTCTCTTTCTAGAATTCCAGAAAACCAAGATCAACTTCACTTCCTCCTACTATCGTCATCGTCAGAAACAGCTGCGCTGCCACTCTTTTTTTTTCACATTTCCATATTCGAAATAGAAAGAAACGACTACACCTTATTAGCATACTCTCTACTCTCCACCCACTACCACAAATCCAATAACTCCTCCATCGATCCCCATCAAATTAATCCGCAAATAAATATCACCATGCAATTCTCAGCCGTCGTCGCCGTCCTCTTCGCCACCTCCGCTCTCGGCGCCCCTACCCCTCCAACCGGCCGCCCCGCCGTCTTCACCGCAACGAGCTACAACAACATCAGCATCTCCGGTGGCGTGGCCGGCCAGGCGCAAGCCGAAGCACAAGCCAGACTAGCCGCTGTCAACATAACCGATGCCGCATCCGTGAACCCAGCCGACCTCGACTTCCTCACCTCCGTGAATGACATTGTACGTAGCCCCCCAACACACCCAAGCCCCTCCCGCGTGTGAGAGAGAGGGAACCCGCTAACACTGTCCTCTTCTTCGCTTTCTCAAAGTGCAACCAAGCCGAACTCGGAGCCTTCAACCCAGCCATCATGGCCGCTGCCCCGAACAGCCCCCAGCAGGCCGCCCTGCAAGCCGGCAAGACCAAGAACAAGGTGCTGAAGCTCACCGCCACCATCATGACGCTCAACATCCAGGCCGCGCAGGGCCAGAACGTGACGCAGCGGCTGGCAGACGAGACGGCGAAGCTCAACCTCAACGTCGCGGCCGACAAGGCCGTGGCCGGGAGCGACAGCATGGCGGTGCAGTTCGAGGCCTTGGCGAGCGCGGACTCGGGCCGGGCGAAGGGTCTCAGGGCGGCGCAGTTGAGTGCTGCTGCTTGCGGACCGACGGCCAGTGAAGACTAAACAGGGCCGGTTAATAGTTGTAGGCCTGTCTTTGCGAGAGTATTGACAGACGAACACATCACCATCGGTCTCTAATAATATAAATCTTCTTGGTCGACTTGCATACAATCTTCTCTTGTGATTGTTGCTGATATTGACCGATACGCATCAATTCCTCGCTTGTCGAGAACACTGCCGAGTTGTAGATGATGTTTGCATTCGAATAAAATCCCCCGTAGGCTAAGCAAAAGCAAGAGCAAAGTAAACTTCAAGACCGTGCAAATCCTCTTCATATCTTCCCTCGGTGTGCCCGTCAAGTAGAGACCGTAGTCGGTGTAGTAGTAGTCCAGATAGGAGCGTTCGGAAGCGTCGGTAAAGGAAAATCTCTTCAAAGAGGCCGCGTGCCGAAGGTTTCCGGGTTTCCAAGTAATTGTGAAAGGTTTTTTTATGGCGTTGGTTTTCAATTTACTTTTGGGGGCTGTTTGGCCTTCTCTGTTTGGGTTTCCGAGGATCATTGATGATAATAGCTGCCCGAGGCCGCGCTATTGATATAGTCTGTGTAAAGCAGTCGTTGGCTTTGGATGTGAGCTACCTTGTGGTACCGAGTGAGGTCTGTGCTGGTTGCTTATTCGTATCAATTTTTATTGGATTTATCCACATGATATCGAGAGGAGACTTTGGCAATAGCTCCTTTCCAGGTGACTTCCATAGTTGGATACATTATTATTCTGGTGTGATCAAATCCGTGATGTTAATTGTTTAGCAGTATTGATTCATTGAGTGGCCTTATCCGGGTGGCCTTACATGGTGCGGTCGGTATATTGGAATGGCTGACGTCAGTTTCCAGAAAAAATGTGATATATATAATCAGCCGTACACATCTTGGGGTGAAGGGTGGTGGACAGTGAACATGTCGCTTGCTGAGCGTACATGGCGTTTGACGATCATGGTGTTTTTCGGTTCTGAATTAAGTTGCTTGTATTTAATATTCTTCGCAGCGGGTGCGGATTTTGCCGTTTGATAGTTGATGTTTTGGTAGTGAGGTAGTGGTCGGCGCTTGGCTTCTCGGTATGGCGGACTAGGAGTTGCGGTGGTGTATCTGTCATTGGTGTATTCTTTGTTGGAGTTGTTGTTAGCGTCATCTTCGTCATCAACCCACGATCCTGGCATTAGGTTGAAGTCTGTCTCGTATTGGTATTGTGCCCCTTTAGTCAATTCAGGGGCAGCCTTGAGTTGAGTGACGGTTGATGATGGCGATTTTGGTATTTGTGGATAGTGGTTTCTGGCGTGCTTCACAAGATCAGCGCTGGAGCTTTAGAATGTCGTGATTCGCAATGCCTTGAAAATCTCAGACCCCGAAGACATGTTTTCAGAGCCAATTACCCAGATACTGGCAAAGGGGAGCGACGGTTGATACATACTCCGAAGTTTCTGGTGGATGCACTGTTGTAGTGGTAGGTCCGTGCTTGGTAGATGGGCTTCTGAGCCTTCTTGAGCCCGAGGCCGATGAGAAGTCGACGAGTAGAAGGTATGATGACGGTCGTGATATATCTTTTCATTGTGGGAGGTTGATTGAGAAGGATGTTGAGCAGTTTGTTGGTGGCAACGATCGATGGCTGCCTATGGATGTTTTGATGAAAGTACAGAGGCCGTTCAAGAAGGAGGACATAAGATTGGGAGAAAGAGGGAATGGGTGATCGCTGTGGTTGGTATAATCAAAGATGTAGACTCCAGAGTACGGGAGGAGGGCTTATATATACAGAAAATGGATGTTGAGGTGCTAATCAAGTATTGGGGATTTAGACTAACAAAAACACGCTTTATTTCCAATAGTGGGAGAGCTAGAAAAAAAAAACCACGCAGCTAGCGAAGAAGGTACTACGTAGCCAGCCCTGCATGGCATAGTAATATGCAATAGTTTATTTGGTATGTAATAGTTCATTTAGTATGCAATAGTTCATTCATGATTCTACTTCCGTCTTGGAGTTAGATAAACTAGAATCTTAGTTTGATGACCGCCACACACACATAGGAAGTACTTCTGACGAAGAGAATGCCACGAGTAGGCTAATATGACAAGAGTGCTTCTATACGTCACTGGAATGAATGAAAAGCGCGATCGCCTTTTGCCCAAAGTCGTTTGAATTGAAGCTGCTAGTGATGTCTAGTCGGATTCATAGCACTTGCTAACCATAACGAGGATGAATCGCTCTAACGAGAACATTCTGGGCGCTATCCTGACTACAGGTTACAGCTGCTAGTGATGTCTAGCCGGATTCATAACACTTCCTAACCACAACCAGGATGAATTGATCTGACGAGAACATTCTAGGCACCATCCTGACTACAGGTTGCAGTTTTGCCAAAGAAATCTCAAACGTCGTCAACAGATGTCAAACAAGTACACATTACATTTCAAACTGTTGACTGACAATGTCAAATTGAGATATCTGAATGCGAGAGTCTCTACGAACGTTCGTTCCGATACTGATCCGAACCCGGATCCTGGTAACCACCCACAAAAAAAGAGGAAAAAAAAGACATCATAACGCATCTGTAGTAAATCTCAAAAACTCCGCGACTAAAAAAAAATCGCCTTCACTGGACATATAGTAAGGTCACTAGATCCCAACTCAAGCTGCGCCACGAAGAAAGTCACTGCTTGCAGATAATTAAAATCTCCGGTATAAATACCCAAAACACACGCTGGAATTTCAGAGAATGGGTGTCGGTAGCCGATACAGAAAGGAGAAAGAGGAATGGTTGCGAGTTTTTGTGAAGTCGCGATGTACCGGTATTCAAAGAGGAAGAAGGGCCGGGGCCATGCTGAGCAGGAGGCGAGAAACCCACCTAAATCCACGATATGTGTATATCACGTGATGATTGGCAAACCGAGAGGAAGTCTTGCTTGGTTGAAGAAGAATCCTGCAGATATAACGATCGCGGAAATGCTGGAGACCTGTGTTCAGAGATCTATCGGCACAGTTCGGTAAGTCAAACGCAAAGATGTATTAAGAATGTGTCGAGCTGTTGCTGTTGACGGCTTATGCGGACCTCGAGATGTTGGTCGCCTTTCTTGATGCCTCAGGCCCCAATAAGGTGGCGGCAGGTATATCACGTGCATTTACTTACTAAGCTTGCAGATTGTGGGATGTGGTCATTTCGGACCCTTCCATCGTGGAGCGAAACACTCCTATTAATTTATTGACAGTCAGAAAGTTTTGTGAAATGCTTTTCTGCTGCTTAATACATGGGAATCTTCCCGTTTCGTGGTATCGTATATGCACCGGGAGGTTCGGAGAATTCCTGCTGACTTTTTGCAAACGAGAGACATTCATGCGACCATATGAGCTAGCGAGCGTTGTATCTACGAATTGACACAGGCAAAGCTGTTAATTTCTCTCGAAACGAAAGGGGAATTTATCTACAGCTAAGAGACAAATCGAGCGCCGAGAAGGGGACTCGAGCTTCGAGGACAATAGCCGAAAACTGTCCTGCCCACTATCTGCACACAAGTCGAAAGCGAGGGCTCAGTTCTGTACAGTACTGTATTCCACAGTACTTGATTCTGAAGCTATAAGAGCCAGGAGTCGTGGATACTTGGGTCTCTGCGAAATCTGCCTAGCATGGACAAGATATCTAACGAAAACATGCATCTTTCCAATGCTAGTGCGCAGAGGCCAAGGTTATGCTTATTGCAAACCCGATACGGGTAACTTTCTACGAGATCTCGAGAGTCTTGATCACTTCAAGCCCTTTCCTGCATGCTACCCCATTCTTGGAGGAGGGTGGCAACTCTCTTGTGCGGTCGCCACATAGAACTTGGTTCCCACTCGGCTCTCTGAAATATGCCTTGCGGGATGCTAAGAAGGAAGAAGGAATGATAAGAAAATACTTATCGGCATACTAAAAGGATCGTCAAGCTCGGCTGCGATATTTAGTCTCCGAACCCTGTTGAGACTATCCGAACTCTTCAAAGAAATCTTCAAGTTGCTTAGGCTATGTTATGGTCCTCTATAAAATGACGCCAGTAAGAGATGAGAACAATCTTTACTGCCAGGCTACGCAGGCCCGCTCTTATCTTACAGAACTGTGAGTTTCCTGCAGCTCTACAAGCATTTACCCACCTCTTGGCGCAGCACATCGAATGGGCTCCTCTCCGCAGTCAGCATTAATGGAGCAATAACGGCTATCAATGTGGATTGTGATGTAGGTATAGCAGGAGCCTTATCGTGATGAACAGGGTGTAATTTTCGGATTATCCGAGCCATTTGCTCGGGACCATCCCTATCGCTATCAGGGCTCCTCTGTACTTATCTTTGGTATCTTGGATGATGTTGGAAGTAATCATACAAGAACGCAAGATGCTTTGAGATTCGGTCTGATCAGTCTTGCGCTCCTGTATTTTCGACTGTTACTCTTTCCAATTGTTCGTCATGGATGAAAAAATGGAGGAAACTCCGTCGGACTCTAAAGTGGAGGACTTTGGCGCCGGGGAGAGCTCTGGCCTAGACGAGGCCGACATTTTCCTTCGCGACAACAACTTCGGCCCTCGCTATGTCCAGGAACTGCTCGCAGACAAGGAACTCAACCGGAAATTGGTCCGGAGGGTCGATATGGTGCTCTTGCCGCTGCTCGCCGGGACATATGTACTTCAGTACATCGACAAGTCCGCGCTGGCCTACTCGGCAGTTTTCGACTTGTTGACAGACACCAAGACAACACTCGATGAGTACAGTTGGCTTGGTAGCATATTCTACTTCGCTTACCTGTTTGCCGAGTACCCATGGTCGTACCTGGCGCAAAAGACTTTGATGGCCAAGGTCGTGTCTAGCTGTGTGATCTCGTGGGGAAGTATCTTGATGATCACAGCCTCTTGCAGCAACTTCACCGGGCTTGCGATTTGTCGTTTCCTGTTGGGTGTCTTTGAAGCTCCCATCACACCTTGCTTCATGATGATTGTTGGAATGTGTTAGTAAAGCTGCTGAAGATCTATCTTCACGAGCAGAGCTAACATGTTACCCAGGGTACACTCGTCAAGAACAGCCATTCCGAGCCGGCGTGTTTTACAGCTGCAACGGCATTGGGTCTATGGTGGGAGGAGTCATCACATACGGCATTGGCCAGATCGACTCTTTCCCAGTCTGGAAGACGATCTTCCTCATCTGCGGCGGCGTTACGGTCCTCTGGGGTTGTCTGATGCTCTGGCTGCTCCCAGACAGCATCATCTCCGCCAGGCGATTCAGTGCTCAAGACAAGGCCGTCCTCATTGGCCGAGCAAAGCTTTCACGCACGGGTGTCCTCAACCGAACCATCAAGTGGTACCAGATCAAGGAAGCTCTTCTCGATCCCCAAGTCTGGCTCCTGGCACTCTACATGTTTCTCAACGAGGTTATCAACGGGGGCATCGCGAACTTCGGAAAGCTCATTATCAAGGGCCTGGTGAAGAAGCCCCTCCTGACTACCGCCCTCGGGATTCCCCAAGGAGCTTTTCAGGTCTTCTGGATTCTGACCGGGACGTACCTAGCCTCACGCTTCAAGAACATACGTACCATCGTCATGATGATGTACCTGCTGCCCACTATCATTGGCGTCACGCTCATGTGGAAGATGGGCCGGAACAGTCAGAGGGAGAAGATTGGGGTTCTCTTCGGGTAGGATCCCCGTCGCCGTCGCCGTCGCCGTTTTCCGCTTTGATACGGCTTACTGACTGACTGACACCGTTGCAGATACTACATCGTTGGCTCCTACGTGGCGTCCCTCGTCCTCGCGCTCCAGATGCCAGCCACGAACCTCGGCGGCTACACCAAGCGCACCACCGGCGTCGCGATCGTGTTCATGACCTACTGCCTCGGCAACATCATCGGTCCTCACGCCTTCATCGCGAGGGAGTCCCCCCGCTACCCCACCGGCTGCAAAGTCATCCTTGCGTGCTCGGTCAGCCAATTCGCCCTCGCCTTCGGGCTGCGGCTCTTGCTGGTTGCGAGGAACAAGACGAGAGACGCTGCAGCGCCGGCGGGGAGTAATACGGACTCTACTGCCGTAGAGGAGGCCGGTCACGATCTTACGGACTTCGAGGTACGTTCTTCTTGTAACATTGCGGGACGGAAAGAAAAAAGGGGAGAAGAAGGAAGGCTGACCAAGACGCAGAATCCCAACTTTAGATATGTGTATTGATTGATTTTTATGATAACCGAATGAACGCTACGACCATTTTTAGCCGGACTATATGCTTAAAAAAAACCCCCCCAATATAATGCTCTATAGCGTTTAAGCAGAGTGCCTTGCTCCTGAAACTAGTGCAGCGGTCAAAAATTGACCCCGTCTACTTCCTCTCATCTAGATAGCTAGCCGAGGATCGGGGGGTCCTTGGGGACGTACCTACCTACATCTAGCTAACCTCAGTCCGGCCTCACCTAGATGCACCTCTTTCCACGACTCACATTATCTCGCTAGGCTTTCTCAGCCTGCGATAGATAGCATACGGTAATACCCTGCCTTGCTTGCTCCTCTAGATTTCTACCCCGAACTCTGTGATCCATCCTATCCTATCCTATCTTAAGGGGAAGGGCGCAGTCGAATAGCAGCAGCGCCGCTGCTCTATCTAGAAAATGCCCTTGAGGGCTATCTTGTATGTTAACTCCTTAGCTTCCTTAGCACGTCGCCCGTACCCCATGGGAGGGAGGTCCCAGGGCGGCAGGCAAAAACCTGCTACCTGCCCGATGTGGATCAATGCTGCTGCTGCTGCTGCTGTTACTACTACAACAACTACTACTACTACTACTACTACTACTACTACTAGATAGCCGAAGACCAAATCCATCTCGCTCGGCGTCACTAAGATTCCAAACCCTCCCAGCCAATTCCCTTAGACGGGCTTTTCCTCTCTGGATTTTACCTTCGTAATGTATGCTACAAAATTGCCAGCTAGGTCAGCGACTCAGTGTCAGTAATAAATACAAGGCACCTGGGAATGATTCCGAACATACTGTAATCAAGGAGGGACGTAAATTCCAGGGTATCATCATAATTCATCGATCCACAGAATAACACAGAGCGCTATACGTTTGTCCCGCCCCAAATCTTCAGTAGATGTACACAAACTCGTCATTCATGCGGTCCGTCAAATCGAACGCATGTTCTCCCACACCCGTCGAAGCATCAACAGCAACGTAGTGATCCTCCATCGACGCGTCGTGAATAACCGCCCGCTTGCCGTTCCGGACTCTGGCTCTCGCCTGCATCTTGTTCAGAAAGATCAGGTTCGCGAGCTGGATCAGGATGACGGCGGCGAGCGCCACGAAGACCCCGAGGACGGCGCGCAGACCGGGCAGGTACTGCGGTGCATCGGCGGCGTCGAACAGCAGGGGCCCGATGATGTTGCCTGCGGCCGACCCGGCTGCGTAGAGGGACATGATGATTGATTTCTTGGTCGTCCCCGCGGTGTTGCCGACAATCCATGATACGATGAGGGGGTTGCTGCCGAAGAGGAAGGCGAGCAGGTAGTAGCCTCCGAGAAGGGCAGCAGTATCCCCTCGCGGTATGGCGTAGAGCATTGCGGAACCGGCGACGACGGGCGCGACCAGGGCTACCAGGATAGGGGCCTTGAGCCGGGCTTTCTCCGCCGCGTAGGATGCGACCAGGATGATGATTAGCTGCATAGCACCGAACGGCATGTTGAGGAGCGAAGTGATGTACTTGTCAAAGCCGAGACCTTTGAGGATGAGGGGACCGAAGATGTTGGTGACGGAAGCGCCGACGTTCAGGAGGAGGGACATGGAAAACCAGAGGTATGTCTTGGGCTCTAGGAAAACTTCCCATACCTGACTCCATTTGAATTCGCGGGAGCCGATTCCGGTCTGGTTCGCGCGGAGTCGCTCGACGGCTTGGGCTCGCTCGGTCTCGTCCAAAAAGCGGGCTGATGCCACATCATTGTCGAGTTTCCAGTAGACAGCAGGCGCTGTAACGATCGTGATCATTCCAACGAAGAGGAAGATACTGTTTCGGGTAAGTAAAAGCTCCCAGTAGAGGTCGAGACCGACGTACATTTGCCAAGACTTAAGAGTCTCTGAAGGAATGTGTCCCAGACCAAAAGATAGCGCCGATGCAACGATTGTAGCTGACCCGTTGGTCCCGTACCATGCCGCGACTCGGATTGGCTGCTCAGCTCGGCGATACCATTGATTTGTGATGACACTAAATAAAGGAAGACAGCCTCCCTCGAACAGGCCAAGGAAGAAACGAGTGGCAAGGAGTCCTGAATAGCTGTGGCATGCAGCCATGGCGGTCTGAGCAATGCCCCATCCCAAGATCATTGCTGGCATCAATATACGGTGGCTATGAGATGTTAGCTGAGTCAATCAGGCAAAGAATAACTTACGGCATTTTTACGATCAAAATAGAAGAAAAGGGCTGCCAAACAAGTGTCGCGATTGGAGCGATCGAGCCCACCAAGGAATATTCGTTCCCTTTGAGATGCGTATCCTGCTGTAGGCCAAATATACTTCCATATCCTAGCACTGACTTGTCTAAGATCTGGTACAGCATATCAGGAAAAACTCCGTCGCGCCGATTGACGAAAGGGGATACTAACTTGGAGGAAATACACCCATACAAGTATGGACAAGATCACTTTATCCGTCTTGCGACAGATTTTCTTGTTCTGATAAAAAATTTACCCGTCAGCTTTGCCAGTGATCCGAGGGGCTACTCGAGTCTTGACCATTTGGTGAAACGTACATCCTCCTCTGTCAGGAACACAGATTCAATGTTGTGGCTATCCTTGCTGGATATCCTTGAGGCCCCAGCATCTTCCGTGTGTTCTTCCAATGGCGCCTTCACAGTCCCGGACTCAATCAACTCTCTCGAAGAACTCGCCATTGGTCTATCGGAAGGTTCGGTTGAAAAGCTATTTGAGAGAGAGGATGAGGAAACAAATGGCGATGAGTTGGACGCCATATTCTGGGACAAGGGCAGGTTGATATGATATGAAAAAAAAAAAAAAAAAAAAAAAAACTCTCGTATGCTTGTAGTCTGCCAGCCTCGTCACGACCTTGCCAATCCGACTACCCCATAGCGGCACCCCGCGCGTCTGACGAGTCTGACAGCATTTGTCGTGGTCGGCGATGGATTTATTCGAGTGATAAAATCTAGTCGCCAGTCTATTGAGACGAGAGAAATGTGGAAACCGGCCTGGGGGCGTGACGAGCTGAGTGCACGTGCATTCGGCAAAAGTCTCGGCTATTGCTATTGACACGACATGGACCCCGCGACGGCCATGGTAGCGGTTCTCGTCACAACATATGCATATCGATGGTAGCCGGCGCTGGCTGTAGGGAACCTCACTTCCCCAGAGTTTCATGATTCGTAATAAGTCACCATCATGATGCCCGGGGGTGGTCAGGAGAAAGATCAATTACTGATGAGACGAATGCTTGCGTTACCAAGTGTGTTCTGGCAGCTTCGAAGAAGAGTAAAAGGCGTGTGAGGAAAAGCGTGGGTATCAAACCTCAGGCGATTGACGGACTGGATGAGATTGAGCTTTTTTATCACTAACCATGGACAGCAAACGGTGCCGAGCTCCTGTGAAGCCGGTGTTAACTGGAAACTATGTCAAAAATGTTGATGACTTCAGGCAGGCGATCGAGAGTTAGAAGATTATCTAGGGGAATTTGACAAGTCAGTCGCTTGATCCACAACCATCTCATTAACGCATCCAGATACTATGTCAACTCTACCGTATTTCTCTACAAGGTATCTGGACTTCCCCCCCCCCCCCCCCCCTCCCTTCCCCGCGTATTGATAAGAAGCTAACCATCTCAAGCCTGGTCCTTCGAATCCTTTCTACGCAAGAAAGACTTGGTGTCTGACACATGATGATAAAGATGTGATCCGGCACCTCCAAAAAAGCTAGCGTGCGGCCTAGCGACTTCACATTTCGATATTCCGAGCTTCTCGATAGCCTCTGGCAGCGTAGAGACTCCGAATCCCAGATCCGGGTATCTTAAACCCCTAATACGGACCCTCTCCAATTCAAAGCCGTCGAAAAATAGTGGCATCGTGCCTCCGCCGCAAGGGAAATCCACCGGTGAATATGTTCGCACGGCAAAATGGATTCTCATGGCTGGACTTACACGCACCTACTGATGGGGGAAAAGATAGCCCTCGGGCATTGTATGAAGGAAAATCGAATGCAACGCAAACACAGAGCACGTTTGTAACATGCAAGGTCATCCGGATGTTGCTAAGAACAAGCGGGCAATTCGCGAACTTGCCAAAATCAACAATCTCATCAAATGTCTCGCCTCACAAGCGTACCTAGGCCACGATCACTGGATACGCCGTTAAATTATATTCCAACAATCAATAGTCGATTTAGTCCCCGGGACTTGAAGCCCCAAATAAATACGTATTCTCCCGGATAATTTCTTTGTATTCGTGAAAAGTTGCAAGATGGGATATGATCGATGGCAATCAAGGCCTGACGCAAAGCCTGACATTACTCGTTAGTCTTCAACTACAGCTTGCTAGCAACTCTTCATTTAATTTTGAATTTAGCTGCAGATCATGATTTTCATCATCGAAAAGCGAAGTGTTTATTCACACAGGAAGGAAGGGACGGCTTTATTAGGGCCAGTTGATGTGTACGATGGTCCAAGCTCGACGTGCGTATTATCCGGATGATGTTGTTGCTGTGCTGGCACGAAAAAAGCTGAAAGGTCAACTTGTAAGTGCTCGTCTCCTGCCGCCCGGCCTGGTCAATAATGAAGGAATGAGTTTCATTGTTTAGTGGTTTGATTTGGAGGCGCAGCGAAAGAAAAGCCGCCTAGACATCGCATTTGAAAATTTCTTCTGATCTTATCAAACATTATCATACATAGGCATACATATATATATATACATATATATTAGGTCCTCTCACATCCCATACCAAACCACCTGCAGGCAATGATTCCAAGTCCTCTCATACGAGCCAACTCTCTCTTGGCTGTGCTACTTGAGAAAAGGATCAGAGCTCCGGTAGTCCACGATCTCCCATGATATTCCATTCTTCCTTATTCTCCCAATTGATGAAGTCTTCATCTTGCGCAAAATGTGTTAGCTCTTCTTCCGTCTCAAAGCATTCGGCCCACAGTTCCAAAGCCTCCTGATTATCTATCGCGCTATCTGGGATAAGCATTTGCATCTGCGCATACTTATCCGAAACCCACGAGAAGCGCAGCGCTTGGGAAGGCCGGGGCTCGTTCATCAATTCTAACGTCATGAGGTAATCCATGATGACATCTTCGCCTGCGTACCATAATGGTTGTGGCCTTTTCCGAGGGTGTGCAACATAAGATTTCGGGATGTAGACTTTGCTGATAGATTGTACCTTTTCCGCATCCGCTTTGACAGCACAATACCAATCCCCTTTTTTAGGCGTCAAGCGACGAAAATGGTTTACTGTGGAGATTAGCAGCGCCGCGTAACATATGCCGACCTCTATGAAGTAACTCACCCAGGTAAAGACCAGGTCCTAATTGAGTCTTTGATCCGGATGGTACTTCAAGTAGCTTGTTATCTTCATTGATGCGCAGAGCCACTTCCTATAGTTTGCGTAATTAGTATAAGCTTATGCTAATGGATATACTTGGCAAATCAAACGAAACTTACTTCGGGAATGGTGGCATAGCCGATGGCTCTCTTTTGCTGGAACATTCCGAGAACCCCGTAGGCTCCGTCGAAGAGAAAGTTCAAGGCTAGCAAGGTCGCCAAGATAGACTTCGTTCGTAACATCGTGTTTAGCTGTGGTGCGAGTTGAGGAAGGGGAAAACAAGGTTGTGTAGGAAGGTTGATGAAGCAATCCTCATGCGAGTGCATAAAGAATTATATATCTCTCTCTTGCACCGTCCTCGAGATTGCTACGCCGTCTTTAAATATCCGCCCGGCTAAGAATAACCAGCGCGCTATTGAACAATCGTACGACGAGTAACAAGCAGCGCACTTGGTTAATAAATTAATCTTTATCGTTTTGATATTGAACACCATCCTGAAAGCCGAGTCGAGTTTACGCTTATCTGTAGATTACTATGCATAGTACCTATTGGAATCTTCATTTCTAATTTACAAGGATCAACGTAGTTGCTTGTACTTCGTATTCGAAATCATCTCTCCTTGGCGGCAACGGTCGCGAGTGTGCCTAAGGCTGCCTTCCGAGGCTCTGGTAATCAAAGCTTTTACTACGTACTACGTATGTAGGACATGCTCATCAAGATTTCATCACAAGGGGATGTGAATGTTTTTTCCGGACCAATCGCCGGTTATCTTGAATCTAATTCGGAAAAAGATGACCAACTTGCTGTACCATGTCGGCACCACCAAGGCGGACACACCCAGTGAGGCGGGACACCTACTGCCCCCCCCCCCCCCATGAATACATGTCGAAAGTATAATTCCGCAAGGGATCTTACCAGGGCTTAAACCAATCAACTTATAAGAATCCAGCATTAAGAAGTATATTTAGGTCAGTTTTTAGTCTGTATAATGGAGTTGACAGGGCTTTGGGCTATTCAGAAACCACCGCTCTATGATTTATGGGCCTAAACTGGGTCCGACATGTATCTTCGTCACTAGCAAATCGGTAGGAAATGAACCACACGTAATATCGTAATTAGTTCTGTACGGAAGAGATGTAACCGTTCTGAGTGTAGTAACAATCAATCAATACAATTCCAATCATCTGCAACTGTTCTATTACTGTATTGTGCCGGGTTAAAAGTACCGGTAGCAATTGCTTTGGCGTACTACCTATTTGATATTACAGGTCCGTGCGCTCGCTAAAGCTTTTTTTTAAAAATAGCTACCGGAATCGGTTCCGGAGACGATGAAGAGAGAAGTGAAGAGAGAAGTGAAGAGAGAAGCGAAGAGAGAAGTGAAGAGAGGAGTGAAGAGAGGAGCAATGGTAAATCAGCAATATGACGGGGGGACCGACTCTACATCGCCTAAGGTACTCTAAGAAAGGGCCCCAAGAGCTGTGAGGGTCAACTCCTACCGTACTATTACTCTGAGCAGTAGCCTTTTTAGAAACATTGCAAGCAACTATCTTCTTAGCATTTCATTCCTAATAAAAGCCCCCTTCAGTGCGATGGAAGCATCTGTCTCTCGAGCATTTCCTTCCCTATTACCAATAAGCTACCAATGGAGTCTTTCTCTTCCCTTTTTTTCCCTTTTTTTCTCTTTTTTTTTCTTTTTTTTGGTATTCTCTTATGATGTGCAAAAGCAGACCTGCAATGCACATTGCAGTAACCAGTCTTATAACCTTATATTCTCGCACGACATCTTATACTGCAGCTTAAGCGTTGTTGTTGTTGTTGTTGTTGTTGTTGTTGTTGTTGTTGTTATATTTATTAACGTCGGGCGGGTATTCAAAACGCAATGCTTGAACCTTAAAAACCTCTTATAAGGTACGGCGACGTGCTAAGCAAAGGAATTATATATAAAGTACTATTTAATCGAGAGTAAAAACCACGTTAAAGAAAACCTTTCGTCAAATAGCTAAACACTTGTAAACCCTTTAAGAGCAAGTCATAGTGCTGTCCGTCGAGTTTTCTCTCGACAACTATCGAATACGTATAGCTTTACGAGCGGCCTCGATCCGTATAATACAAACATCGTTTTCTTTCGTCGTAAAGCTAAAATGGCTCGCGTTCGTAGCTCTTAAATAAAGCCGATATGTTTGCAAAACGCTCTTTCGAAAGCGCAATATCGTGTTTTCGATCAATCGAACTAAGCTTTTCTTATCCTATCTCTTATATACGTCCCTTTTCTATCGCAAATCCTTTTAATCTTTTCAATCGGTATGCCCGTCAAGTATAAATCGTAATCGGCGTAGTATTCGAAAAAAAAAGAAGAGGAAGGTTCGGAATCGCCGGTAAAAGAGAATTCTTCGAGAAGACGTCGCATATCGATGATTTAATTTCGGCTCTTTAGACTCTTTATCTTTCTTTTTACCGCAAGAAAAAGAAAGAGAAAGAGCTGAAGGTTCGTAAGGGGCACCTCGTACAGGTAAAGAATCGTAGCCCCCCGCAGCTTAAGCGTTAATCGTCGGTTACCTTGAATTTAATTTGTAAAAAATCCCGACCTGGCGCGGCCAGGTCGGCACCACCAAAGCGGGACAGTAACGGTATACCACTTATTAAACAACAACTATTAATACAAAAAAGAAAAAAAAAATCCTTATATGCTCAGAATTTTTTTTTTTACAAGCGTGAATTAAAATTATAAAGATGCATTCATTTGTGGTAATCTAATACATTGAAATGTATTGAAAAAATAATCAAAAACTGTCTTAAATAATTCAAATTTACCTCTTTATTGCAAATATCTTAACAATTATAACCTTCATTCAAAAAAACGTCATATAAATCGAAAATAAATGATTTGATATATTATATTACTAAAGGTATCAATTATTAAATCAAAGTTGGTAGTGATGCACGTATTCTTTTGATAGGTTTGAATAAAAGTTTGATTTTCGTGTTCTTTGCTTATTCTAGTATATACGCGGCAATCCAGATATATACTACATCGCAGGCGTAAGTATTACCCCTCGAGGGTAGGGAAAACAGGGGGTTTAAAGTGGAAACTAAACTTTTAAGGCACCCTCGAGGGGTAATACTTAGGCCTGTACCGTGACAGGTCCGCATTACCAAAATCGCAAAGTATATATTAAAAGTACTATTTTTATTCCTTTACAAGAAAGGAATAACAATTTGTAATTAAGATTCAATTAATTGATTAATATTAAACTCAATACGGTGCATCTTTTTATACAAAGATTAATTATTATATAATAGTTGGTCGATTTTCTATTCATTGGAAAGGAGCAAATTTTACTGTCCCGCCTTGGTGGTGCCGAATTGCTTTCGAATTGAATTTTAAGGAAACCGACGATTAAAGGACGCACCCAGTCAGCGTCGCGACCTAAAGCCAGGTGACCGCCTTTTTTTTTTTTCAACAGTCTACAATCTCAGCCGTGATCTATAACACGCTCGAGGTAACGTGAACGAAAGGTTTCCCGATCCCACGTATTAAGCGTGTCTGTATGTATGTATCGCAAGGAAGCGATTAACTCGGAGCTGCTCATGACGGAAGCAAAAGACCCACTTAATAAATCCCCACCCCACCCCCACTACAGAACAGTAGAGCCCGCTACGACCTCGGCACTCCGCGGGACGAAAAATTCTTTTCAAATATAGTTTCACTGCAGCGCGGCACGGACATCGAACCAAATCATGCATGATCGCTTAGCTCAGTTGGTTAGAGCGTGGTGCTAATATCACTCTTACTCTTCTCCTGCGACAAAAAGGGAGGGGTGAGGCGTGCAACGCCAAGGTCGCGAGTTCGACCCTCGTAGTGATCACTCGTCGTCATACTTTTGTCTTTTGCGGTCCTTTTGTCTTTTGCTCTTGCGGCCGGATTTGGTTTCGGGAACTTTCCAAACAGGGGAGGGGGGTTTATTGTCTTCTTATACTCCGTACATCTTTCCCTCCCGGATAACGTCCCGGACGACCGAAGCATCTTTTCGCCACCAGGATCTCCCTCTCTCGGTGCGGGCGGATACAAAACAGATAGATCGTGGCGGGAATAAATAAATGATTACATACAACAGCAGGTATCCGCTGCTGACTACTCGCTAATCTGCCAATCTGATTCTTATTTGTGTACGGCAGAGCGAACGGGATGTCCGATTTCTCCTCCGTCTATACTGTAGTCGTACCTGTGTGTCATCTGGAACCCTGCGAGTGAGGCTTTTAAGTTGGTCATGCAAAAAAAAAAAAAAAAATTAGTGTGTGGACTGGCTGTTGTGGAAAATGAGCCTGCGATGTGAACAGGCTAGCTTGAGTGCTAGCTACCTAGCTGTGTAGAGGCGCTTGGTTTGTAGAAAGGCTTCAGTTTGCTGCGAGGTTCATCTAACTCTAACATATTTACATCACTTGGTCAGCCCATCTTGGAGCTCTGTCTGTCCCATATCCTTCATAGGGCAAGCTCAACGAATTTAGATTTACCCAATTACTCCGCCATGTCTCTTAGTATATAGACGCCCATCTTGAAAAAAAAAAACTGTCCCTGTCTGGCACACTATCCACTCCACCCTTCCGATCAGAGGCCCGATGAAAGTGTCTTTCCCGCTCCTCTCAAGATTTCTCTGAACTTCCCCGCCAACAACTCGACCGTCGTTGCACACTTCGGGGCATCTGCAGCAACCCCCCTATCCCCAGGCTGAGCAGCCTGGACCAGGTGCGCATCCTTAACAGCCGCTCCCATCCTCGGCACCCGGCCCGCGGTAACCACGTCCACATCGCCACCGAATCGCACCGGCCCTCCCAGCTTCGCAGCCGTGATGGGAGTGGCGTTCACATACGCTTGCCATCGCCGTAGAAATACCCCCGGGCCCGGGCTAGGTCTTGGCGTGAAGGGCTCTCGGGTCTCAGATTTCGAGTGTAGGCTAGTGAGTGATGCCCTTGTCAGCTTCTTGGGTGCCGGCTTGTGCTCGACTTCAAAGATCATGTCGGATAAGGACACGGATGAGATATCTGCGTGGTATGAAGCGTACGCGTCGCATTCCTCGAGGACCTGGGCTCTTTCCCTCTCGGGAAGCTGCGAGATGGCGTTTTCCAGCTGTGCGGTGAGCTTGCCCGCTCCACCCATCTCGGAAGTGGCCTCTCCTTTCTGATCGTCGACCCTGAACTGTGCTGCTGAGGACCTCGCATAATCCTTGTACCAAGTGCTCAGTTCGGGGCCATTTCTGCACACCTGGTGCATGAATTTGTGGCATGAGTTTTGGTGCTTTCTCAAAAGCCGAACGAAGTCTCCCACGCTGGCCGCAGCAGAATTTTTGTTCGAAGGTGCCAACGCCAGTAAATCGTCAAGGAACGATTGGAAATCACTAATTGTCCCGCTCAAGTCGACTGCTTTGTGCAAAGCTCGTATGACTGGATCATAGGCTGCGACGCATTCTCGAACGGCTTGCGTAAGCAGATCTGGTTGCCTCTGACAGATAATTGCCGTAACCTGTCTCCGGTCTCGAAGGGACACCAGAACCGAGAGGTAATCGAGAGCAAGCGGGATCTGTTTCTCGCTGAGCGCATTTCCACAATACTCCTCCAAGATCGTGACCACGATGGGTTCTGCTTTCGCCTCACTCATCGTCCGGCACTTCTCGTGCTCCAAGCGGTCCTTCTCAACATAAGACTTCAACAGGTCACATTGAGCTTTGCTGGGCCCGTCAGCGCTCTTCTCAATCTCAGTCGCTCTCGACTTCAGGGTGTTCGTGTCCCAATTCACCACTGTCCAGATGATCGTTTGCAGCAAGTTCCAACCGGCGTCACTCGAGTTGGTGATCCCGAAGAACGATGTCACGCTGTTCAAGGTCATCTTCGTCAGCAGAATCTTCATTACGCCGTTGATCATCGTCGCTGCATTCCCAATCTTGAGTGTCGACCGGATGGCCGTGTAAGGTACGAGAGCATTCGCTTGCTTCATCATCTGAAGCATCGTTTGTCCTTCTGGGGTGATTATGAGAATGTAATGGAGAAAAGAGGCCATGATGACAAGTATATATTCGTGAGCAGCCTGGACAAGAGAACTGTGATCTTCGAGCTTGTCCGTCGCTGCAGTCTTGGCGAACGTCTCATCGAGGAGGGTGTCGTAGACCAAGCGCTGGAGGAGATCCTGGAATGCAGCAACGACATCTTCCGGTTTGGATGTATCGTAGACCGGGTCGGTCCTACTCAGCGCTCTCTGGGGGAATCCCCCATAGTAGCCCCTGGCTGGTGCTCCCACCAAGGCTGCCGTTGCGGTCGCCAACGTCTTCCGAATACCTATGTATCCGGCGCAATAAGACTCGCTGAGATCGGCCTGGGCGAGCTCATCCACAAGCTCTTGACATTTGGCTTGGTAGAAGTCCAAGGATACATCCTTCAGCCCGGGCAGAGGTACTATGAAGGAGGAAAAGAGGGCATGCATCAGGGGCATCTCGTTGGGCTGGCTGCCATCGGTCTTGAATGGGGGTCCGCTGCGGGCCAGGAACCCCGGCTGGCGCAGGTCGCGAAGCTCCGCGTATGCCTCATGGTGACTGAGGATATCGAGAAGAGCCCGCGCTTGCGTAGGCGACAGCTGCTCTGTTGTCATCGTGTCGGTCTGCCTGTTCCCATACTGTGGTTTGGGTGGTTGTAGTTGTCGTTGTCTCGGAGTCGGGGCATCTGAAGAAACTCATGATCATCCGGCCTTGCTTGATATACGAAAACGAGGTTGAAGGCTGATGACATCACGAGCGGCCTTGGTTGGCCATGGCATCAATTTGGCTGTCCATTCCGACTACTCTGCTCATCCAAACAAACACACCAACAAGCTTCGATGAATGAATACGCGACCGTCAACAAAGTCTTGAAGCGATGGAAGAGGGGCCTGAGTGATACTTGGGTCAATATAGATCTTTCTAATTGATCACTGGAGAGATTTTAAGCCATCCAGCAACCACACTGTCGCTACGATTTGACATATGATTAGCGAGAACATATGTAGTGTGTCTAGATTGCAACCATATCGTAGCTGTTCGTGGTCAACAAACAGTCTAAGCCATGCCTTTTACATGACGAACTTAGCAAGCTGGGAGCTCAACCCGCAAGCAAGGCTGCGCGGCCGGCATTGCAGAAGTTGTCCAATCCTCTAAACCAAATTTAGTCGTGTACCGGTATATGGAATGAGGATGACTTCTATACTGAGCGGAAGAAGTTCAGCGCTCCGAAAGAATCCGCAGGAGCCTGAACGTTGTTCGTCGGTGTTGCTACGACACTGGCAGCCGTGTACGGTACCGGTACTACGAACGAACTCCCTCCGTCCCTCCCATCCTCTCATGGAAGATACGAGGTGAAATGACGCCCAATTCCGTGCAGGATCTTTTTCTAACCCAAAGCCGCAAGAAGGCAACACGCTTACGGAGGATTATTGGACCAGCCGGGCAAATTCACGGTAGATACTCTACAAATACTACTATCGTTGTATTTTTACACTTATTGCATCTGCAGCATTTCCCAGAAGGGTTTTCGCTACTTGAGGAAACGAGGTGTTCCAATATTAACAAAGAAGGATCACCAGTATCTAAATGCGTTCAGATGAAGCCTCGATACAGTATTAATAAAAGTCAACGCGACGCTTCTCGGCGAATCACTGCCCGTTTCCTCGCTGGAAACCTTAAATCCGTAGGTCGGCCAAGGCGCCAACTGAGATTACGGTGTGCTTAGTATAGATGCTTCTTCGTCAAGGGTTCTACGTAAAAAGGCCGTATTGCTGGTACCGGTACTCAGGCACTGTACCTATCTACCGGTACCTACTCTACTTATTGAAGCTCTGCACGCCTGGCAGCGAAGGTGCAGCTCCAAAACAGTCAGTCAACGACTGACGATCGCCGGGCGACAGTCTTTCATCAGTCACCATGTACCGGTATCGCGGAGACCTCCGCTCGCTCCCTTTCCGTTTGCTCCCTTGATTCGATATCGTTTACCGTACACGGAATACCCTTCTCCTTCTCAAATATGTACAGACTACACAAGCAGCAATGACAAGTAGGTGAGTGAGTGTACTTACTTACTCTAAAAGCATTCGGTACGAAGTAGTCCTTTTTTTTTTTTTTTTTTTTNNTTTTTTTCTTTTCTTTCTTCTTTTTTTTCCCCCCCCGNTTCCCTTTCCCCTTTTT